AACAAAGGTACGTGTAGTTAAAGCTATAGTTTTTCCTATAGCAATGTATGGCTGTGAGAGTTGAATTATAAGGAGAGCTGAATGCCACATAATTTGACACTTTCAGATTGTGGTTCTAGAGAAGATTTTTGAGAGTCCCTTGGACAGCAAGAGGGTCAAATCAGTCAGTACTTCAAGAAATTAATTCAGGCTATTCACTGGAAGGTCAAACGCTGAAGCTTACCTACTTTGGCCACGTAATGAGAAGACGGGACCCATTGGGAAAGACCCTGGTGCTGGAAAAAATTGAAGGCAAAAGAAAAAGGGGACAACAGAGGATGAGATGGACAGATAGTGTCATGGAAACAATGAATATGAACTTGGACAGACTTTGAGAGGTAGTGGAGGACAGAAGGGCCTGGCTTGTCCATGGGGTCACAAAGAGTTGGACACAACTGAACAACAACAAAAACATCCCCTCCTTGATTCTACCCTCCATTTCCTACCATTTCCTCCTCTTCTGTCCCAGCCCAGTGACTTACTTTAATGTATTTCTGTTTGTAGTCTTTTTATTTATCTGATTTTTAAAACCTCCCCTTGTGGAATTCGGTTGATCGAGAAATTCATGAGATCTCTGCTCTCCACTTCCTTTTTTGAATAATCTCTCTTAGAACTCTTGATACCATAAAAGGTAAATTTTTTCCCCTCTCACCTACATTTTTCCTCCCTCCTTTCCTCCTTTCTCCCCTTTGGGAGTTATAAACACTTGATCATGATTTCCCCCCTCTCTATTTGTCTTTCTTTCTTTGATCTGTTTTGCCTTTTGAAGACTCTGTCCAGCCCATTTTTCTCCAGGTGAATGCTTGAAAGTCATTACTTCTGTTAAATTTCATCTTTTTTGTTCTTGTTGAATTATACTTTATAGAATAAATTATTCTTAGGTACAGCCCCTTTCCTTTACCTTTTGATATATCATTTCTGTCTTTACTTTTAGCAATTGATGTGAAGTTGTACAGTCCTGATGGGGGTTCTCTGATGTATGATCTGGGTCTTCTATTGTTTTTGGTACTTTCCCCGCCAAGATTGAGATTTCCCATTTGGGGTGTGTTATAGCTGGGATTTCTCTTCGATGACCTATGTGGTCAAGTCCGGCTCCCTCATTTTGTAGATGAGGAAAGTGAGGCGCAAAATGGAGAAGTGACTTAGGTAGAGTCACACAGTTCTTAGTAAATATTTGAATCTTGGAGTAGAGGATGGTTGGAGGCGGAGTGTCTGAGAGGGTAGCGTGTCAGGACAGGTGCTCTCCTGGAATAGACCTCCATCCTCAATCCATGCTTTCCCATTGTATGCAGTCACTGTATGTGTCCTTCTGTAAGTCCTTCATAGCACATCCTTCTACTGTGCTGTTTTCTTCCTTTTACTGTCTTGAGGGGCTGGTGTATGTAGGCTGTCACTGTGATCTCATTCTTATCATTTGGGCTGTCACTGTGATCTCATTCTTATCATTTGACTGGCCCACTTGCTTCAGCCACTCACCTCTCTGGTCTCATTTTGTGTGGATTTAACAATCTTACAGAATTGTATTGCTTCTTTAATCCTGAACTTTGATATTCTGCTCTTTAACCACATCCCCTTGTCTGTGCACATTTCCTACTCAATCACTCCTGAAATCTGCTCTCTAACTTTATGTAGATCTTTGGTTCTTTGACCCCAAGCCCACTTTGGCTTTACCTCTACCTAGCTAGTATATTTGTCAATGATTCACTCTCTGTTGTTCTAAAACTTCTCAGCCCCTTATCTTTGGTTATTCCTGATTTCCTAATCCTGATCTCTCCCCCCCAACCATCTGATTTCTGCTTCTGGGTTGTTAAATAGTATGGACAGAGTTTATTGAAGGATGATTTCATCCAGAGGTACATGAGCTCAGATGGTCCCTTCACTGCTGACAGTCTTCTTCCCTACTCTTAACTGGTTCTAGATATTTTCCACAGCAGCTGTTCCAAACTCTTTCCCAGCTTCAACCTCCTACATACATTTCTCTTCCCCTTCCAGAGGCTTATGGTAGATGAATTATTTCACTGAAGATTTTCTGCATCATTGCCTATCTTCAGTTCTGTCCCTCCAGTCAGACATTAAGGTTCTTCTGCTCCTGACTGATCCTCTGCCCGTGTTTCACTAAGATTAGAGCATATTGTGTTTCCATGTAATGAATAACTTTTGCTTTCTATGTGGGCTAAAACTGAGTCATCTATAAAATGTGACTTAATTTTTGTAGGTTAGGAATAGTTGCAGAAAGCCTTAGGTATACTTCTGCATTTCTTTTCCATTCCATAGATAAGGAAATAGGATAGAAAACTCTCTTCCATCGTGTCATTTCATCGTCATCATCATCACCACCAGCATTTATATAATGCTTACACTATACTAAGCACTTTATGGTTATTATCTCTGATCCTCACAACAATCTTGGGAGGTAGGTGCTATTTATCCCCATTTTACAGATGAGGAAACTAAGGTGCAAACAGAGGTGAAATGACTTGCTTACAGCTAGTGTCTGAGGCCAGATTTGAACTTGGTTCTCTCCTTATGCCAAGCCTGGCACTCTAACCTAACCACTGTAGCCTGGCTGCCCATACAGTAATAAACGGTCATCGAATAATTTTCCTACACTGATTGAAATTACAGGGTGGTTACCAAAAGGTTTGTGGCTGAACTCTTTGAGCATTTGGACAAAAGGAAAGCATCTGGATTAGTTATGAATTGTAGTAAAATTCCCCCTAGACATCTATATGTATCTATAATGGGGTTTGTTCGGTATTTTCTTTTTTTTTTTTTTTCTTCAGTATTTTCTTGGGAGCCACATATTTGAAGGTTGTATGGGAAAAGTCATATGATGAAAATACTTCCTATAACATCTTGAAAACCAAATATCAGTGTCAAGGATCATATGATTTTCATTTAATATTTTATTATATGTAGTCAAGCATATAAATAGTAGGTAATTTTAATTTAGCAAGCATTTAGTAAGTACCTAATCTGGGCTAGGTATTGGTTACAAAGACAAAAATGAAACAGTCCAAGAAGTTTGCTTACATTCATATAGGTAAGTATACAAAATATATGCCAAATGAGTATGAAGTTATGTTTTTTGTTTGTTTTTGGTGGGGCTGGGGTAGGAGGGAGAGACAGTGTGGACACTAACCTGGGAGAATTAGGAAAAGATTCTTACAGGTACTTGAGCAAACCTTGACATGGGAGCTACTTACCAACAAGTAAGGTGAGGGGAGAGCATTTCAGGCATGGGAGATGGTGTTGATGGTCTGTACAAAGGTATGAAATTGGGAGAGATAATGTCCTGTATAGTGAACAGCAGGTAGGTTCATCTGGTTGTCGTGTAGAGGATGTGGAAGGCATTATTCTATAACTTTCCAGGCTTATTCTTCTGGGAAATTACATTCATACAGATCAGTAAACAAAACATATGCCAAGTGGATATAAAGTTATATGGGCTTGTGTGGGTGTATGTGTGTGCGAGTGTGTGTGTTTTTTTTTTTTGTTTTTTTTGTGGCAGGCTCTAACGTCTGAGGGAATCAGGAAAAGATTGTTATTAGTACTTGGGCAAACCTTGACATGGTCCAAGCCTGGTAAGATAGGCTGGAGCTAGATGGTAAAGGGTTTTAAAGGCCAGAGAAACAGACAATGAAGAACCCCAGAACTTTGTTGGGCTGGAGGAAGGGCTATCAGCTTAGGAGCTGTATGAAGGGTGGGATGGCAGGTGGAGAAGAGATGTTGTCAGCAAGACCCTGCGTGACTGGAGAGATGCTGGTACACTCGACAGAAATAGATAAGTTTAGAGCGTTGGGTTGGAGAACAAGATAGGTTCTGTTTTAGACATAGTGAGTTTGAGATGCTTATAGAGAGTCCAAGTAGAGATGTGGGACTGGAACTAGGGAGAGAAATGATAGTTAAGCCCTTGAGAATGAATGAAGTCACAGAATACATAGATAAGAAGATGGTCTAGGACAGAGCCCTGGAATAGAAACACACATATGGATGCTGTTCTGGCAAAGGGCACCGAGAAGGAATGGTTAGACAGGAGAACCAGATTAATGTCAAATGCTGCAGGGAGCTCAAGACTGAGCAAAAACTACGGAATTTATGTAGTTAGGAAATTCTTTGTGACTTTAGAGCAATTTCTCACTTCCTATTCACCTCTCAGCTCTTTCTGATCTGACTTCTGCCATCGACAAGGGAAGCAGTCACAGCCGGTGTAGATACTTTTCATGGGAAAGAGGATAGCTCTAGGGGAGGTAATGGGTCAAGTGAAGGTTTTTGTTTTTACTTTTTAAAAGAATAGGTGAGTTGTTCTTAGGTTTCTTTGTATTGCTTGGGGCACTGAGAAGTGACTTGCCCAGGGTCACACAGACACTGTATCAGAAGCAGGAATTGAACCCAGGTGTTCTGACTTGGAGGCCAGCTTTCTACTGTACTGCCTTTCTCATGTACAGTTTTACCGACTCTCATCTCCTAGGAGTTAAAGCAAGAGCAGAGTAGTAAATACCTCTGTGTGGTACTGTGAGAGAGGGAATAATATGGTAGCTGGTAGTCACATGAGGGGAACTGTCTTGTCAGGTCCCCTCCCCATCTGGGGGTGCCCTCTACTGATTAGACAAAATCAGATCCACCTTGGAGGGGATGGCACTTCTAACTGGACGATGGGGAGGTACAGATGGCGGCATGAGCTAAGTCTTTATGAAAACCAGGAACTCCTGGACCCAGAGAATAAAGAGAGAAAGGAGAGCATTCTAGAATTGGGGACCAGCCAGCTGGGGTTAGGAGAGCAAACCCACTAAGGAAAACGGGGTAAGTTAGGGAATAAAGAAAGATCAGGAAAAACGAGGAAATGAGATTGATAAGCAGTGATTTAGTAAATTAAATCAGAGGACCTGAAACCAGCAGGAGGAAAAGGAGACTTCCTGTTCCCAGTATTGCACCCCCATTCTCCCCTGTCATTTTTGGTAGCTGATTTGAGGGCGGCTTGGAAGGACAAATGTCTTCCCTTAAATAAGAAGAGTTAAAGGGAAATTGTTGCTGGACTTTGGAACTAAGGAACTGCTAAAGTGTAACTAGCTGACAATCTCCCTCTCTACAGTTGAAACATCTCATAATCCAGGTAATTCTGTTTGAAAATGACTCGCAATGTTACGGGCCTGGGGCACTGAGAAGTTATGTAATTTGCGTGGGGTTGGATTGCCAGGATGTGGCAATGGCCAGACTTGAACTCCGTTTTTCCTGAGGCTGGTTCTCTAGCCGCTGCTGTCTTAGTGACTTACTGTCTGACTGGGTCAGTAATTAGGGTAAAAGGAGTGGGGGAAGCTTGTAGGTAAAATCTTAAGTCTTCTCTTACAGGTCTAAAAGTTGACTTGATTTAAAAGTTAAGTACACCATCATATTGGGGAAAAGAACATGGGCAGCTGCTGTTTTTTGAACCTTCTCGGAGTTTGTTATGACAGCTACAGTGCATTTAATTTGGAGTCAGGAAGACCCAAGTTCAAATCTATCCTCAGACTCTTACTAGCTGTATCCCTCAGGGCAAGTCATTTAACTTCTGTTTGCCTCAGTTTCCTTATCTGTAAAATGGGGTTGATAATAATAGCACCTACCTTCCAGGATTCAAATCTAATGAGATAATATTTGTAAAATGTTTTGCAAAGTTTAGAACACTATATGAATGCTAGCTACTCCAACCTAATTTTCCAAGCTTCTTAGTCTTCTTCCCCATGAATCTTCAGCTTTCGCCAGAATAATCCATTCATGGTTCCCCTTTTTAGGCCTTGTGCCTTTCCACCCTCTGTGTCTTCTCTTGCCATTTTTGTCATCTGCCATGCCTTCGTGTCTCCTCAAACAAAATCCTATCATCGTCCAAAGCCAAACTCAAGATCTTTATCATGGAATCTTTTTATCTCAGGGATTTTCCTTTGTTCTTTGTTTGTTTGTTTGTTTTGTTTTGTTTTAGGCAATTGGGGTTAAGTGACTTGCCCAGGGTCACACAGCTAGTAAGTGTCAAGTGTTTGGTCTGAGGCCAGATTTGAACTCAGGTCCTCCTGACTTCAGGGCCGGTGCTCTATCCACTGTGCCACCTAGCTGCCCCAGATTTTCTTTTATTCTTGAAACATAACAATAATCTGTATTGCTCATTGGTAACTAATCATCATCTGTTTGTCTTGTCATCTCTCTAATGACTTAGATTTTTTAAAAAATTGATGTCAGTTCCTTTATTTCTGTGTCTTATTCCTCCTCTTCCCTTACTGACTAAATGTTTCCTTTAGAAAGATAAAGAAGAAAACAGGTCAGCCAGACTAACACTTCAAGCCCCTAGTTTTTCAGCTTGTAATGAAGGGAGAAAGGAGTGTTTTCTCCTTCGGCGGGGCTACGCTTGTTTATTTTCTTTTTTTTTCATTTAAGCTGTGGTTATTGTGCATGTTATCTTCCTAGTTCTGCTTCATTGCACATAAATCTGTTTTAAGTTTTGCCTATTTCTTTGACTTCTTCATATTGTTTCCTTGTGGCAAAGTAATATTCTATACATTCATGTGTCACAATTTATTTAAATATTTTCTAAATGATAGGCACCTACTTTGTTTCTGTTTCATTGCTATCATCAGAAGTTTTGCTAGGAATATTTTAGTGTATTTGGAACTTTTTTGTCTTTGATTCGTTTTGGCATATGTGCCTGGCAATGATGGATCTCTGGGCCCAAGGATATGGACCTATTCAGTCACTTGTAGCAAATTGTTTTTCAGAATTGTTTGACCAGTTTACAACTAGATCTACTAACAGATGGAGAATTAGCATGCTTGATTTTTGTTGCTGTTGTTTTTTTTTTATTTTTTTGCCGTTCCTCCAACTTCTACTGGTTCCATATAATTTTGCTATCTTGTCTTATAATGTATTGTTTAACTCTTTCATCATTTAGCTCTTCATATATTTGATGCCTCGTCTTTCCAACTAGCTACATGAGTTCTTGGCAGGACAACGTTGAATCAAATAAAGGTGCTCAATAAAATGGTAGCTGATAAAAAGAGTATTATGTGTAGATGGAAATGAAAATGTGTGGGAACATTTCAACCAAACATCTGGTGCATTCAAATGTCAGACTTAATCTCTTCCTTGTCATTTGCATTCTAGTTACCCAACATGATGGTGGGTGAAGAGAAATCTTCCATGAGAAATCGCTGGCTCACATCCAAAGAAAAAGATGAAGAAAAGAGAAGTGTCCATAGAGAAGAGACCCTCCAGACACTGCAGGAGACTCTGCAGAAGCCAGAAAATGGTGAGGCGGCTTCTGTCACTTTGCAGTGATCGTTTGGGAATAGAAAATAAAAAACATTACCTTAGGGCAGCTGTTACCAACCTTTTTGGTGAGGAGTAGTTACCATCACCAGTTGCTTCAGAGATTACTCATTTGCATCAGTGTCATAGGTTACTTTGTCTTGCTCTAGGGTTAGCCACATGGAATTTTGTCAGGTTGAGTCATAAAGAATCATAAAGAAAAGTGAGCAACCAAAATCAGGTTACGTCTGAGTAACATAAAAACAGACTGAGGGACGTCTTTCCATGGGCATAGGGATTTTCTTCTTCCCCCTATTCTTTGCTTTGAAAATGTACTAAGCATTTTGTCTTATATTTTCAGTCTTTATAACTTTCCTACTGTTGTTACATAAGTATCTTTTTTGATGGAAGTAGATTACTTTCTTACAGAAATTTGGAATTAGAATTTTGTTTGCTAAATACATAGGGGAAACTCTTGAGAGGTTGGCTTTGACATGTAAGTATATATTTTACACAGAATTAGTTTTCTTCATCTTAGCTTGCTCCAATTGAATTTTAAATTTTGGCAATTGAATTCTTTTACTAGCTACTTAAGTATTATTTTTGAAGCTTATGTATTGAGAATATTCTCTGGTAGTCTCTTAATTCACTATGGAATGACTGTACTTACATATATGTATGCATATATGTGAATATGTGTGTGTATATATATGTATATATTTACATTATGTTACACATACCTTTGAGCCTAGATTCGTAATGGATTGTGAAATTTTGAAAAGGGAAGAGAAACCCCCTATGGGTGAGGAGGAAAGTTTTATTTCCTGTACTGAATGATAGGCTACTTGATCACAATCTCCACCCCACCCCCACCCCCCTTCAGAGCCCTGGTAGCATTTCTCTTTATAAAACTCCTCACATTAAAAGTGGCATGTTTTAAGAACAGTTTTTGCAGAGTAACAGGAAACATCTATCTTTCTAACCATGCCCTGTTTCTGGTTTCATCTCATCTCTGTGCCTTTGTATCGCTGTCCTCCATGTCTAGAACACTCTCCTTCCTTGCCTCCACCCCTTCATTCCCCGAGATTCTTTTTCTTTTTACATTATTATATTTTTAATTTATAGACTAAAACAAGCATTCACTTAACAGTTAAAAAGATGATTTCACAGGAAACTGCAAATCTATTACGCATAATTTGCTATTCCTTTAAAATATATAGTAAAAGTATCATCAATATTATTTCACACACACCCCTTCCCCATCCCCAACTCAGCCATTAGACACAAATAGGTATATATTCCCCTGCTTCTTTCAGAGATTCTGCCCAAGTGCTGCCTTTTTCAGGAGGCCTTGCAGGTCTCCCTAGTTACTTAGCCTTCCCCTCTAAGATTACCTTCATTCTACTCTGCATCTGTTTTATAGGCACCTAGTGGGGAGCTAGGTGGTACAGTGGATAGAGTCCTGGGCTTGGAGTCAGGAGATACATCTTCTTGAATTCAAATCCGAATTCAGACACTTGTTTGTTTTGTGACCTTGGGCAAGGCCCTTAACCCTGTTTGCCTCAGTTTCCTTTTCTGTAAAATGAGCCAGAGAAGGAAATGACAAACCACTCTAGTATCTTTGCCAAGGAAACCCCAAATGGGGTCGTGAATAGTCAGACATGACTGAAATGACTGAACAATAAAATTTATTTATGTGTTGTTTTTCTCATTAGTATGTAAACTTCTTGAGTTCAGGGATTGTTTTTGTTTTTGTCTATTTTTGTTTCTCTACTGCTTAGCATAGTGCCTGTGGCAGAGTAAGCCCTTCATATTTAATAAATACTTGATGATTAATTATAGTCATTTATGATGTTATGTATTTTCTCCTTGAGAGATTTTTCATCTGGAGCTTTCTCTCAGAAGTAATAATATAGAATATATTAAACAATTTTGGCCTCAATCTTAATGTGCACCCAACTATTTGATTCACTTGTTCAATAAGTCTTTTTTAAGAGACTGTTATGTGCTAGGGGATGCAAAGTCAAAAAATGAAGCAGTCCCTGCTGTCATCAGTCAGTTCCCAAGCATTAACTAAGCGCTGGCAGAGTGCTAAGTGTTGTGCTCGCTCACATTTGTATAGTCCTCAAAGATGAGGTCAGTTTGCCTGGAGTACGTGAACAGGAGTAATATATAATTATTCTGGAAAGATAGATTGGGCCCAGGTTAGAGCTTTAAAATCCCTCCTATCTTAGAGCCAATAGGAAACCCCTGGAGTTTGAGAAGGGGAATGGCCTGGTCAGATCTACTCTTAAAAAAAAAAAATCACTTTGGCAGCGACGGTGTAGAGTGGGAAGAGATTTGAGGCAGGGAGACCAAGTAAGAGACCACTACAGTATTCCATGCAGGAGATGATGATTGTTTGTGCTAAGGTGGTGGCTCAGAGTAGTGAGAAAGGGATGGATGCAGAAGGTCTAACAGCAAGATTTGGCAACTGATTGGCTATTCAGGGTGAAGGAGATAAGGATGACACTGAGGATACAAACCTTGGGAGACAGGAGGAAACATGGTGTCCTTAAGAGAGGTAGAGAAGTTCCAAAGAAAGGTGGATTTGGGAGGAAAGATAATGAGCGTGGAATAGGGCCTGAAGTGCTTATTGACAGATTTTGGACCATGTAGTTTGAAATGTCCAGTAGGCCGGACAAGCTTGGTTAGTCAATAAGTCAACATTTATTAAGCACCTACTATGTTCCAGGCCCGTGCCAAGCATTGAAGATACAGAGAAAGGCAAAAAACAGGCCCTGTGCTCAGGGAGCTTGAAGTCTGATGGAGGAGACAGCATGATAACAATTATGTGCAAAGAAGTTGTACAGGATAAAGTGGAGATAATCAACAGAAGATCCTAGTATTAAGGGACATCTGGAAAGACTTCTTGCAAATTGCTTATTATAATCACACATTATTCACATTTGTTTTTTCTATAGACATTGTTGTAATCATGTTTTCCATATTTCTCTGAATTCTTCATTTTCATTTCTTAATATTCAATTACATTAATGTGCCCCAAATTATTGAGCCATTTCCCGGTCAGTGATTACCTCTTTTGTTTCCAGTTTTTGGGTTGGTTTTTTTTTTTTTTTTTTGATACCTCAGAAAGTGGTGCTATGACTATTTTGGTTTATATCAATCTTTCTGTGGGTTAGATGCCTATCAGGGCACTCTCTGGGTTAAAGGGTATAGATAGTTGAATCACTTTTTAAAGCTTAATAACAAATTGCTTTCCAGAATGGTTGGACCTATACCTTTCTGTGCCTGTCTTTCTATAGACCCTCCAACATTACCTGTTTCTATCTTTGGTCAACTTTGGCTTTCTGTCCTTTTAAGGAACTCTCAAGAATCAGCTCTTCCTTGACTGATTTTTCTTATATATGATGTTTCAAGCATGTTTCTTTTGGGATCAGGGTCCATGCCTAGATAAGTGTTGGCAGAGTCCTGTAAGGGTGTCTCTAATTCCTTGTGGGATAATACATTTTATAATCAAAGTCATTATGCACTTAAGAGGTTAATGGATTTTTGTTTTTCTATTAGTGGACCATCAGGTCAGACTCATTAGTCTTCAAAGGGATTGTGGAGGCTGTCTAGTCCAGATTCCTCATTTTACACTGGAGGACACTGAGGCCAAGAAAGATTAAGTGATTTGCCCAAAGTCAAACAGATTGGCAACATTTGGACAGGAACTCAAGCGATCCAACTCCAGATTGAGTGATTTATAGGCTTTGAGTATATCCTTTAAAAAAGAAATCAAACTGAAAATAGCCATGCTGTGTAAATTAGGTCCACAAAATGTTTCCTTTTATACTCAAGGTTAATTAACAGTAGGGCACTTGGAATGAGGACACTGATGCTCTGAGTTGGAAAATATGAAAAGGAGCATCAATCAATTTCTTGAACCCATTTCAACTCCTGTGTGTTGTGGCAAGTAGCTCTTCATTGTATGGTTATGTGGCACCTTACATTGGAGAGGGGGGAAAAAGAAGCCCACAAGGCTCACATGTCCAAAAGAGATTTTAAATGCTCACCTTACCAGCCAACTGGAGATAGAAGAAGGGTATTGTAGACCTTCAAATCTGTGCCCTGAGTGGAGCAATGTGGCAGCTACTCTATGGAGGGCTTCCCAGCTTTCCTTTTTGGTTTTGGAAAAGACCTCTTAGAGATGATCCTGTCCTTTCAGGCCTTCCTGGAGGGTGGTTGAATGAATGGAGAAAGCATTAAATGTTTACTAGTTGTGCCAGGCCCTGTGCTAAGTACTGGGGACACAAATAAAAAGAACAGTTCCCATGCTCAGAGAGTTTAAAAGATAGCACATAGGGGAATGGTGTCCATGGGAAGAAATTTGCTCTGGGGAGTCATAGATGAATGAGGCAGTCAATTGATGCACCCTTTCTAAGAGAAATGGGGGTATTTGTTCTTTGCGAACTCTGTGCTTTGGGATCTGTGAGCATAATGATTGGTTGAGGGAAATGAAAGTACAAGATTGCAATGTTTCCTTTTGTACTCAAGGTTAACTAGCAAGCAGGATGTGGAGCCATTCTGTCTTGGCTGCCAAGTGCTCTGAGACTCTGAACTCAGATGAATATTTATTTATTAAGTTATCATTAGGGAAAAAGGTTAAGACTGAACTGATTTTAGAGGTGAAGTAAGAAACAATGAACACTGATAGGATATTAGCCAACTGGCAGGAGGATGCCTTTGAGATGTGTTTTCAAGTTAAGATTTTACAGAGGTGCCTGTAGTTTGTTTTACTTGGGATTCTACATATGAATACTACCTTAGACTCCATAGGGGAAAGGCAAATAATCTTCCAGTACACAGATAACCTAGCTAGAGGGGAAAAAAAGCCTTAATTATTAATACAGTTATATATCAATGTGTATGTGTGCATGTATGTTTTTTTTTTCTTTTCTTTCGTTTTGGCTAGGCAGTGGGGTTAAGTAACTTGCCCAGGGTCACAGAGCTAGTAAG